GGGACAGCCCATCCTTCTCTGCTCAGCTGTAACAGGTGACCCCTGACACGCAGCTGCTGGGCTGTCTCCCAGGACATGCTCAGGTGATGCCAGGGAGGGGGCAGCCGCAGGACTTCCTGGAGGAGGCGTGTCGGGTACAGCTACGGGGGGTGGAGAGCAGAAATGTGGGTACTGGAAACAGCATCCACTGGAGGAGGATGCGCTTGGGGTAGGGGTACCTGCAGATCTTGGGGGCTTGTGCTGAGACCAGATGGCATATGGTCGCTTTGAGTGCCCAAACTGGCCACGGGTCTGTGCCCTGATATGCCAGGGAGCACGGAGGTGTGGGAGGTGTAATAGCAGGTGGTGACCAAGGATCCTAGAAACAAGTTCAGCAAAAACCTTGACACTTGGGCGAGGGTCAGGGTCCCTAGTCAGGCTGATGCCCAGCCCAGCAGGACAAGGTCCAAGGCATTTCCAATCCCATTCTAGCTTTATGGCCCTGTGTGGGAGGGGGCAGGCATTCCGCTGGTGGGGATGATGCAAAGAACAGACTGTGGGAGTGGGGAGAATCTCTGCCGGTCCCTACTTCTCTGGGCCTCAGTTTCCTTACCTGTCACCCCTCTGCAAGTGGCAGGCCTGTGGGGTCCTCTAAAACATCAGATTGAAAGCATCACAAATGGTATGTCGAAGCCCTTGCAGGGTGTGTGCCGGGAAGGGGCAGATGCCCAGGCTGAGGGGGCCGGAGAGAGGGGAGAAGAAGGTGGGGTGTCTGGAGAGAGGCGACACAGCCCTGCAGATGCGACACACACAGAGTGTCTGAGTTGTTGGATCAACAAAAGGAGAAGGGATTCAGGAGTGGCTGCATCCAGGAGCCCAAATTCTTCTTAGATGCTGCGTTGAAGTTGGGGCTGATTTTAAGCAGGTTGTATCCATTAGCAGGGTTGTGTAACCCCAGCAAATCTAGCTTCCTCCCACCCCCATAAATAGCCCAGCTATGCAATAATTTGAGAAGCCCCAGTATTTCATATCGTTGGCCAGGCCACGTCAAATGTCCATCTCTGGAATGACTGCAGAGGCCAGGGAATGGGATGCCCTGGCCGGCAGGGCCGGTCACCTACCCATCCTGGAATGGATCACAGAGGCCTCTAGTCCAGGACTTTCGCCCTCCGGGGACTGGGGGTGATGCCTCTTCCTGTACCATGCCCAAGTGGCCTGACTCGGTGGCTGTCATTTCCTCCTCCCTCAGCGAGCCCAGCTCACCTGCCTGCAAAGAGCCTGAGTAGTCTGACAATCAGACTATGGACCGCGTGACCAGATACCCCCTCTTCAGCCACCGCTCCTCACCCCGGGTCACCAGCCTGGCCCTCGATGGCGACCACAGTTACACTTTCGAGATGGTGGGCGTGGGGCCTGAGGCCAGCGATTGGAGCCAGGGTGAGCCACAGGTGTGGCGCACTGACCGCAAGGCCCGGCCGGAGGCGGTGCAAACTGGAGTGACCCGCACGCTGCAAGCCTCCAACTCCCGGCTGCGCTCAGGAGCGAATAAGGATGAAAACATAAAGGCCTCCGTCCTAGACTCCGCGGGCGCCCAGACCAGGAAGCCGTGGGACCTGGAGCAGGAGCCCCGGGCAGTCATCCGGGGCCAGGCGGTCAAGAGGAGTGGCACGGTGGCCACACTGCATGGCACCCCTGACAACAGGGCCCCCAAGACCCCTGGCCAGCCTCAGCTCACGTCCCTGAGTGAGAATGCAGTCGACACAGAACAGATAGACTTCCTGGCGGTGAGACAGCAGTTCCTGAATCTGGAGCAGGCCAACGGGGAGGCCCCCCAGAGCCCACGAGCCAAGGCGGCTCCTGTGCATACCACGCCCCCAGTGAGTCAGGCCCCCAAAGCCCTCAACAGGCTGCCCCAGGCCAATGGGTTCGCCGCCCCAGCCAAGCCCCAGGTGAAGGAGTTGATCGTGGAAGAGAAGAGCAGTCGTGGTTGGCCCGCGGGGTCTGACCGCAGTGTCCAAGGTGTGGACAGCCCTGACTCCTGGCCCCAAGAGGAGGAGACACCAGAGCCCCCCAAAGAGACCCCCATAGAGCGGGAGATCCGGCTGACCCAAGAGCGGGAAAGGGACCTACGAGAGCAGAGAGGCCTGCGGCCAGCAGCCAGCCACCAGGAGCTGGTAGAGATCCCCACCAAGCCGCTGCTGACCAACCTGAGCCTGACCACGACCCCACGGCGCGACCACCGGAGGCGCCAGTCACTCTACGTGCAGCGAGACATGGCGCAGGAGACGCAGCGTGAGGAGAATCACCGGCGCGAGGGCCTGCACATAGAGCGGGCAGCCACGCCAGACTGGGCCTCCAAGCGCCCCCAGCCTGGCCTCAGGAGAGCCTTCAGTTCAGACTCCATCCTCAGCCTGGCCCCTCCAGCCCCGGCCAGCGCAGCTGACCCTCCTCCGCGGGCGAAGAAGGTGAGCCGCATCCCACCTGACGCCTACCACCCATACGGGGGCTCAAGGAGCCCCCAGCTCGAATCCCCTGACTTCCGCTCCTACGGCAAGCCCAGGGGTCTCCCTGAAGATGAGGCCAAGACGGTGGGCTCCGCTCAGAGGCATCTCCCAGGACTCCCCGGGAAAACCTCCGGCACGAAGCAGGAGCACCGGCAGCAGCAGGAGCCTCCCCTAGCAGCCAAGGCGGGGGTCTTGCGGAGGGAGTACTTTCTCCTGCGCTCTCTGCAGTTCAAGGTCCCAGACACACCACAGCAGAGTGAGGAGCCCAGAGTTGAGGGCTGGCAGGCAGCCAGGGCCTCCCTGCATGGGCTACAGAGGTCCCCGTCGTCTGAGCTGCTGGAGAGAGAGGTGGAGGACGTCTTGCGGCGGGAGAGGGAAGTGGCCGAGGAGCGGCGGAATGCTCGATTCCCCAGGGTCTTCTCCCCGGCACAGGACGAGGACAGCGACCAGGAGTCCACTTCCTCTCAGACATCCGGTAAGAGAGGGCCCCGAGGAGCGGCTGCTTTGATTGGGGTGTGGAGCAGAGGTAGATTTGGGGGATGTCAGGCGGGTCCGGGGTAGGGGAAATCTCGGGAGCTCTGCCCACACCTCCGACTGGCCGGTCTGGCTCCCCGAACTGTCGATTTCAGAGAAATATGTCGACTTTGCCTGAGGATTTTCATTTTCGGATTTAGAGCCTTTGTTACTACATGCATAGAGGTTTACAGATGTCCCATCCTCCCGGGTGATCGCTCCTTTCTGTCAGTATGAAATATCCACGTCACCTCAGATGTTTTCACCTTGTGTGCTTGACCCACTGTCTGGCGGGCTGTGTGGGTCATCTGTCCGGCGGTTTCCCCCCGGCGCTGTCCGTACATGCCGTCATTTTCGTTACTGGTCCAGCTTCAGCGACTGTGTCCCGGGCTGCGGTCTGATAGACCTTCTCCCCTCAGTGGGCACTGGAGCCCTCCCTGATGCTCCCTCCTTCCACTGCTCCCCAACAGGCACCGTGGGCAGCTACTGTGTGAATGAGACGGATTCTTTCAGCCCCACCCGCCTGCACTCAGGCCTGGTATGGACAGCAGAGGCCCCTCGTGACGATGGTTCTGGGCAGACAAAGAAAGAGCAGTGGGTGAGTCTGGAGCACTGCCTGCTCCCCCAGAGATGTGACCGGATGCTGTACCCCTGTAGGACACAGTCGAGTCAAGGGAGACTCGCCTCTGACCCAGTTTCAAGTTCTGTCTCCCTTACTGCCTGGCAGTGACAGGTGCCTCCGGCTCCCTGCTGGGAGATGCAGAATGGATAACAGGGGCGTCTCTTCCTGTCTGAGCTCCTCCCAGAGCCACGCAGGCAGAGGCCCTGTGGTCCCCCTTGAGCAGACCGAGGGACAAGTTCTGCTTGGAGAAGCGCAGTGGCAATTCACCAGTGTCGTGGACACAGTCTCTATGTATTCATTGTTGGCATCTTTTTGTGATTATTACCCACACTGCACCAGTGATGGGCATGCGCCCACCTTCAGCACCTGGGGGCTGTCTTCTCATGCCTATACCCACAGTCACTTGGCTCCCAAGCTCCTGCTGGGACTCCTTGCCACACCTCTGTGATGATGAGTCCCTCTCCTCCTGTGCAGAGTATCGGGGTACCGCAGGGAAGAACAGCAACTCTAGCTGTACCCACCTGGTACCCACAACCTGGCAAGTGGTTTGGGGCACAGAGTGGAGCCCTGGGTAACCTGGGGCGAGTCCCTGCCCTGCCCCTCATCTGCAAACCCCTGCTGCTCTCTGACCCTCAGTCTCCTCTGTGAAATGAGCTTGGTGGTAAGAACAGCCCCACAGCCTGCGCTGGCTTTACTGCCGTGACGTTTGCAAGAGGAAACAGTTTCAAAGGGCAGACAGAGGCTGCGCCAGGACGGCCAGGAGGACGGCTTGAGTTTGGGAGACTGGGACACCGGCTTGCAAATGCCTCCTTTGCACCCCCAGGGGGCTATGTGGGCTGTGCCCCAGTTCCTGGGGGCTGGCTGGGGGGGACGACGGCCGTGGGGCTGGCTGACTTGTGCCCTTCTCTGCAGTACGCAGGCCTCAAGCCCTCGGACCATGTCAACTCAGAGGTGAGTGTGCTCCCGGGGTGGGTCGCAAGCTCGTCCTTCATCTGCGTCCCCTGCCTCGTGGCCTCGGGCCCACAAGTCTTTCTTGTGGGGACTCAACTATATTTTCTTTTTAAATTTATTTTTATTTATACATAAAAGAACTAGGGTGTAGGCCAGAGGTGTAGGGGGTGAGACATTCCCCAGAGACAGAGTGGGGAGCAGAACAGGCAGACCCACTGAAATACACCAATGAGGGGAACAGCGGGGAGTCGGGAGGGGTCTCTGCGCCCTGGGGGTCCCTCCCTGGCCGGGGGTCCAACTCAGGCTGCAGTTGCTGGTGATAACCTGACAGCACTGAGACTTTAACCCCTGCACCACCAGCAGGGCCCTTCACTGGGATTTTGTTAATTAGCTTTCTGAGGTGGGTTTTGCTGTGATACAATCTTGCTGTCTGCTAGGGGCACAGATAATGGAAAAGGGGTTCACATGCTGCCTCTTCACCAAATGGTGAGGGTTTGGGGACAGATTGAACCTGGGATAAGAGTATTTTCTCTGGGGGAGAGACCCATCTATGAGCTGCCTCTGTAGATTTCTAGAACGCATTGTGGCTCTCCTTGAGCTGAGCCCAGATAACCCTAAGGAGCATTTCCGCTGCTGGGCAGCTCAGCATGGGTTATCACATGCTGTGGCCGTATTACTGGGAGTAGAAGGTCTGAAGCAGGGGGAGATGGCCCTGCTTTAGCACTGTCCTGG